TATTGGAGACTGTATTTCCTGAGGGAACTCAAGAAGTACAACCTACCACAGGACTGGCTGGTCATACATTATTAAGTCCTGTGTGCATCCATCACATAGTGATGTGTGCATCCATCACTGTGTGGTTGATCAGGTCTGTAGAGAGGATAATCATGGTTGGCTTTCCCTTCACCCAGGGTCAGGAAGGAGGCAGCTAAAACCCCTGCAGACCCCACCCATCCTGGACACAAACTAGATTGTTCTTCCCTGATTTAAAAAAGTTAAATTTTTTGTTACATAACACCCAGCACAGTGCTTCTCCACATATCGGTCAGCTGTCTGGCTTAGAAACATTCATTTCAAGTTTGTGAAAAACATGGAGAGTCACCACAAAAATCAAAGGAACCCTGCAACATATCTTACTATAAAATTATAAGAACTATAGTAAGCAAGCATGTACAGTAATTGTTAGTTGATTGTTATGTGTAGCATTCCATTCCGAACAAAGACGAAGCTTTACTGATGGTTTTTATGAGATTTAATTCCTTTAGTGTTGTAATCAACATATCACCACCGTTTTCATCCATATATTACTTTAAGTCTGTGCTAAATAAACATATTAACAAACAATATTAAAGGAAATACTTTAACAATCAACACACCTTTTGACTCTTTGGAGGAGCTGCCAGTTTGAAACAATGTTTCTTGTTGCTCTGAAAACAAACTGCTGTACTAACTGCTGTACTAACTGCTGTACTAACTGTTGTAACAACTGCTCTAACTGCTGTAAATCACTGACTTCTTTCTGTGTCTGAGGGAAAAACAAACTAACAGTTATACAGCACTAGGCAGAAAATGAAAAATGGAAAATTTAAAGCATACAGTTCTAATCAGATTTCAAAATTACTGGCAAAATAAAACACATTCAAACACTTATGGTTATTTACAGTTAGCTTTAGCAAGTGTTTATTTTATTTTATTCTATTAACTTTAAATGTAATTGGAATAAAATTTCCTTTGTGGTTTTACATAAAAGCAGTTAGATGATGTTATATATATTATTTTAGATGTTTACATATAAACAGTACTAAATATTTATATATTATATTACTCACAAATATCACATGTGAGAATCTCATACTGTCCTAAGATTGTTTTCAGCATTTGTATTTACTAGTTTAGATTAGTAAATAGACTGAAAAATAAAACGTGTCCTGCCTCAGATGGACACTAGATTGTTGTAACATGGTTTGTCATCTTGATAAAAAAAAAAAAAAAAAAAAAAAAAAACGAGGGGGAAAAAAAT